GACAAAACCAAAATAATGTTTTTTTAAATGACAGATGCAAAATATGAACATACCTTCTGAGCACCATCAGTGTTAATTGGTCTGACATCTGGATTTGGACCTACTACACTATCAAAAAACGATACACATTTTGCATAGTTGGGTTCTTCATCAAACTTCAAATTGACCACATAGTCTACAAACTCTTTGAAGGGTTGTGGGCAAAAACAACAGAGAGATTCTGGAGAGGTAGCCATTTTCTTCTTGCAGACAAGGAAGCCTTTGTTTTCACCCTGTAGATGCAAAATAAACATCAAGTACACATATACATCACTCAAATAAATAAAATTGGCTGGAGGATCCACATTTTACCTGATAACCTTGCCAAGGTAGACGTCCCCGTAGAAGAAAGACTAGCGTGTATGCTAGAGATTCTAAATCATCCCTCCTGCTACCTATTCTCCCAAGATGTGCATGAACACTAGCATAGCGAACTGTTCCCCTGAAACAGCAGCAGTAACAATGTAACATAACAGTTAGACTAGTACCTCCTTCAGTTGATTCAACTATGAGAAGCATAAGCACCACGGGTTTGCTAGCTACTGTGACAATATGTCGAGTGTACCATCTCAACAGAGACTAAGAGACTGATTCCATGTCCAGTGAAAGAATGGCTACTATCACGCATGCCAATCAGGACCATTTCACCAGTAGTGACTAGAATAGGTGAGTTCATTGCAGCAAGATGCTGAAAAAGAGTAAAATACTGTACTGATTCTATAAGGCTAAGGAAACATGCAAGCTCGCAAGCACAGGGAGAGAATAAATGGAAGACAATAATGGTTGGCTGAAAAGTGAAAACCGTTTACAGCAGCGGTAATTTCTGGCGTAATGGCTGGATTCAGGATTACTGGGAAACAGCAAATGGACAGGAAATGTGACAGGATAATCAACATCATCGTTTAAGTGCTAGGGGTAATGCAAGTGATGCCTATCATAAAAGCTTCATCTGGTCACCTGAAAACATCTGGTCGCTGATCATATTCAACGTGTTGCCCTGTTGCACTATCCTTCCACTTCGTAGCTGCCATCAGAAGATCCAAGAATACAAAATTATTTACATGCCTTAATCTGTTGTCTACATACAGAACAGACAAATTCAAATCATCGTAGATGCTGCCAGTTGGGCGATAAAAAAGTAAATTAACTTACCTAAGCCAAGATCAACAAGGAAGAGTTTCTTTTCTTCAGGTGTCCCAGGAGTCCCTAGCAAGAAATTCTCTGGTTTGACATCGCCATGAACATACCTGAAATCCCAAACTTTTTTTATTTTAAAATTTTGCCAGCGGATGACTGAAATACATAGAGAATAAGCAGCTACAAGGAAAGAATAATCAGTGGTGTTAACTTACCCTTTTGAATGCATTTTCTCAAGTATGGAGATTGATTCAATAGCAATACAAGCAACCATCTCAGCTGACATTCTGCTAACAATGGAATGACGTTAATGGTAAACTAAAAGTCAATATCAAATGTTGATTCAAAACTATGACTCACGAGTGAGAGTTATTATTCCAGACATCCCAAAGACTGGGTCCGAGCATATCCATAACCTGAATTTTTAAGATCAAGTTAACTAGTATCTAAAAACGATCAGAAATAATGAAGCTAATACTTCAACAATCCAAACAAAGTGTTATACCATAACAAAGTAATCCCCTTGGCATCCTTTGTAGTGGACTCGGGGAACCCCATGAATGCCACCGACGGCGCTAAATGTGCAATAACCATGAAAACCAATCAGCTACCCATAAGTTGAATGATCTCCGAAAGACTTACACCTTCGCATACCCAAATCATAAGATCATAGATTGACTTACTTGTAAACTGCCCACTCATAAGGAGGGCCATAGTGACATCCTTTACTGGTCCTATGCTCAAACTTCAGTGCCACCTAAGATAGAAAGGAAGACGGCTTACTCTCCAGTGCTTATACAAACCGCAATTCCAGCTTTCCATGTCGACTGGTACTAAAGAAAATCCTCGATTACCTCAACAGCACCTGGACCAGTAGCTGACAAGCAGTGGCCAACATATACTTGGCCAAAACCACCTTTCCCGAGCTTCTTCTCGACTCTATACTTTGGTGAACTACCCACCTGGACCTGTATTTATAGAACAAGCAGGCAAAGATTAAACCAAAATCATTTGGAAGTGGAATGATCGGAAGCAAACTAGAAGGTAACGCCTTTGCGCAGGCAAAGCATACAATAGACAGCGGAACCAAAATTTCATCTCTCGGAATCATCTCAGAGAGCTCAACACAATCGAAGCGCAGCAGGCACAATTAAACATCATAGGAACAGCTCACCGTGTCAGGGACAAGGGGCTGCCCTCGTCATCGGCTATCAGCTTGTCGGCGCTGTCCCCGTCGTCCATCCCACGCTCCCCCTCGTCGTCGCCACCTTCCCCCGCGACGACCTCCACGGGTCTGATCTCCTCCCGCTCCCTCTCCTCCGCCCTCGTCACCCTCCGCCTCTTCTCCGCCGGTGCCGGTTCCGGCGCTGCTGCCGCCGCCTCTGTAGCTTTGTCCTCAGCCGCCGCCGGACTCCCCTGCGCCTCTCGGGCCCTTCGCGCCGCGCTACGCAGCACAGGCATCCTCAACCACGGAGCCCCATGGCCCCGCCTCTTGAGATTCCACCGCCGATCTCAGGAAGGAGCTGAGGAGGGTAGACCCAAGCGGCGGCGCGCGGTGGCTGGCACCGCGGACCGGGACGCTAGCTAGGGTTCGGGTCGGTGTGGGGCAGACGCGATGCGATGGGGACTGACTGGGAATGGGGAAGGAGGCGGGGCAGGCGGCGGTGGTGCTGATGTAACACTGGCTGCTGCCTGCTGGAGATGCGAGAGAGTTTTGAGGCAGTTCGTTGCGGCCTGCGGGAAGGGGAAAGGATTTGCAAACCGTTGTTTTAAGCTGGAACATTATTTTCTTGTCCTAGTATAAACAGTGTTTTCTAAGTCTAAACGGTGAAAATTTCGTACAGCCGAACACTGCTATGTCTAATCGTCGCCTGGCAGTGGCATCAGTCCGTGTGCGGACACACGGAGCTCGTGGGAAGCGACGGCGTGATGGAGTGACCTTTGTTTCGCTTCGGGGACGCCAGAGGCTACACCAAAAGTTCTACGCACCTCCTGTTCTTGCCAAGGAAGGTTTTATACCAACACAAGGTAGCACGCTAGCCTCTGCCAATTGATGTTGCAACCAAGGAACGAAACATGAATAGTATACGTCAACGTTTTTCCTCACCAGTCATAGTGGTTAGAGGTTTGCTATATCAACCAAAGGTCATGAAGCATGATAATAGGCGCTCCCACTACATAGACAATATACAGGTGTAGAAGGACATTGACAAGAGAAGAGATGTAGAAGTCGTAAATGACCATATTATTTTATTTCAATATGATCGTAATGTGTGCGTTCCATGTCATCTTCAGGTAGGATCTGTGATCACGCTAAGTTGAGTAGTACACCCAACTCTAGTATTGCGTGTGAACCCCTGCATCAAGTTGGTATCACGAACAACAAAGATACATAAAAGTTGTTTAGTGCGCAAAAGATGTTTGCATACAAGTAACGTAAAAAGAAACTAATACGGCCCATTATGCATAAAACAATGAAAAGGCAAGATCGATATGGAATGACGTGCATAGCAATATTCTAATTTTCGAACATGTAGTCATAACTCAGCTCAAAAATATATAGTCACAACTCACGTCATTACACATCTTCATAAAAAGAGATATCACCCTTTTGCCAAGATAAGCATGCAAAGCTCAAACAAAGCAATGCTAGAACTGATTTTTTTGGGTCCACAATTAATAAATCAGGAAATGTTGAGAGATTAGTACCTGTAATTTTGGTCCAAAATTAATAAAGCAGGAAATGTTGAGAAATTACTACCTGTGGTAAACTGTGGTGTACGCACAGCAGATTCCATCAAACTTCCCCTATACTACTGATGACGCAGCGGCGGGGAGCCGCGCGACGTATCGTTTCCGCCTCGGCAAATTAAAAATTACTGGCTTCGCGCCGAAGGATCGCCCGCCAGCGCCACCACGACGATGGCGCGGACGGATGGGCTCCCGCCTCCCGGGCTTCGCACTTGGGCGGGATGAAAAGGGCAGTGCAGGAAACGGCCTGCTTCTACTCTACCGAAGTACCGATGGTTGATGGGCTCCCGTGCTGTAATAAGATTCGTGCGAGGCAGTCCAAACCACTCCTCCACTCATGCCTGCCTGCCAAAGTGCCAATCCAAGCCGTAATGATTCACTAGACGCGCTGTTCCAAAAGACCAAAAACGCCGTCTCCTCGGCCCCGCTACCCGACGCGTTGACGCCGTGCCGGTCTGCCGGACCAGCCGGAAGAGACGCGTGCCCAACGCCCTCTTTACCAAACCGAGTGGCGTTCGTGATTTGCCTCAAGCCGGAGCACTGTGTGCACCAAACGAGCCCTTGCAAAACGATGAACTGCTACCCTCTAAAAAAAAACGATGAACTGCTACAGTACATTGTACTTACCCAGAAGTCCCAGTTCCAAAGACAGGTATTCCAACAGGGACCGTGTGACCTTATGTGAATTTTCTGCGGTCAAAACAGGGATCAATTATGAAAGAAAGATCCCTCTAGGTTTCAAATGCCCGACAGTTTACTCGAGACTCGAGAGTACAGGAACTGGCTCAATTGGGTTGTGTTGTGTGTGGTATATTATGTCAAGGTGTGCATACAAGCTGGTACATACGGAGTACTCAGTATGACTCATCAATGAGTGTAAAAGAATGGATTATATAGCCCATGGCCAAACAACGAATACTACTACTTTACAAAAGATGGGGAAGAGGAAGAAAATAATTGGGAAAAAAAGAAATAGGAGGGTTAATAGGGCATTCAACCAGGGAAACTTGGTGTGTGGAGCTAGAATCAGTGGGGAATGCCTGAATCAATAAGAAGGGCACAGAGACTATGGGCTATGGCAGGTTTGCGCTGGCCAGATCCCCCATGGCTGATCCTTCTCTGGATGCAAAGTCCTGTAGCATTCAAACAAATTGAACAACAAAATTCAGTTGAAGGTTCATATGCACGTGAATCTAGCCCGCCTAGCATGAGCATATGTGATAGCATGGTTGAGTACCTGAAGGCGGTGTAACAAGTGCATCAAGAACAAATGCACGAACACCTGGTGTGGCCAAAACAGATTTATAGTCAGAAAGAAGTCTTAGTTTGATTTTTAAAAAAGGGGCTAACATAGAGGAAATTGAAGTTATGCGGTTCGTGCCAGATAGAATAGCAGGCTGACTCGTGCAACGGGATGTCGCCACAAAAATCTTGTTGCACGCACAGCTCCTGTATCTAAAAGCTTCGCAGCCTTTTGTAACTGGAACAAAGATGTATAGAAAACAATGTTAATCTTGACGATTCATTTCCTATAATTTAAAAGGGTGTAAATCGTCAGACTAGCATTGGTCAAATCTACCTGCTGATTTGCTGTTGCCATGTGTCGGTGATGTAGAGGAAGAGGCCTACAATATGCATACTTAATTGTCTAAGAATGTACTAGAGTTTGCAAATAGATGTATACACTTAAGACTGGATACCATCAATTATCATGAAATCCAAGAATGATGAAAAACACAATTTTCACGTGCGAAACAGTTAACGTACTCTAATGCCTTGATATCAGAATCTTCTTCCCACGAAGATGCTGATCTGCGAGTAGCTTTACTCCTTTCTGCTTCGATCTATCAAATGGAGGCCATTGATAACAAAAAGGGCAGCAAGATAAGAACATCTGCAGTTAACTTGTTAGGACAAACAGCAACAGAATGATGAGAAAATAACAACCTGCACTTCATGAAATTGTTTCAATGATTTCTCCAGTTGGAACTCCAATGCGGCCTTTTCGCTGGCCATGGATTCCAATTGTGTTTGCTTGTGGTACTGGAAGAAGGATCCATACAGAATCAAATTAGCTCTCAATGTTAAGAGTGCCAAGGACGCAGAAGAAACGAACAGGTTGATTGCATACCAGCAAGTCAGTTAGCTCACGGTATCTCTTCTCAAGCTCAACATGCTCCTAATAAAAAAACAAGAAACATTCAAACATTCACAAAAATAAGTGCTCCGTAGGATATTTAATAACCTAAATCTGTATGACTTGGTTAGGGTCAAGGAAAGTAACATCAACAACTTAGCAACAAATATTTCACCTGTCTAGAATAATGTTCTGCATCTCTTCTCATTCCAGCCATTTCAACTCTCATTTTCTGTAACTCAGCCTGCATTGTGAAAATAAGGGAGCAGTAATGTGTAAATACAAAACAATACCCTTAACAAAGGTTATCATGAAAATAAACTTTGATAGTCCTAGCTACAACTTAGAAATCAACCATGCACATCCAGGAGTACAACAAAAAATATGAAGAAAATACTGAATCTTTAGCTGGGTGATGAAATTAATGTCACCTCCAAGGACGATATCTTTGCCTCTGCCTCTCGTTGGCTTTGGCGTGCACGCTCAACTTCTTCCTGCCAAGCCTGCATCTGTTCCCACACCAGTAAGAGATAATAGGGCAACCCTGACCAGTAAGACACCTCATGCAACAAGTGCATTCCACATCAAAGGCATGAAGTTTGAGCCCTCAAAGACAAAAGGATGTTTTAATTTTCACCTGAAGAACTTGATTAGCTTCTTCGGAAGGCTTTTTCTGTGTGCGGCGATTACGAGCCTCCATCTCCTGTAGTTCTTGTTGCAATGAAGCACATTCAACCTAGGATAACCAGAATATTCACGGTAAATAAGATAAACAAACAAGCTCATAGCCTAGTGTGCAAAACACAAGGTGGGAAGGAATGTACCTCAAGCACAGCCACCTTGTGCTCCAATTCCAGCGCTCTTGATGAGCTTTGATCAGCAGCTCTCTGGATGACATCGGAACAATTAAAATCAGCATTAGAGTATCATCAGTTATATTAACAAAGTATATGTTACAAATTACTTCCTCTGGTCACAAATAAGTGGTGTCTTGGGGTTTTATGAAGTTAATTGTTTCAAACTTTGATTACAAATTACTTTTGATGAGTTTGAGTTTGGATATTTGAAAATGATTAGGAGTAGATATGTATCGAAATGTAGTTTCATAGCAGTATACCTTTGGTATGTGTAGCAAATATATTATAACAAAAATTAGCGGGCAAAGTTGAGTTTTGGAGATCATGACTCCATGTCCAAAATGTCAGTTTATTTGTGAATGGAGGGAGTAGTTAGCAGCATTAAAGCTGAGATCTGCATGCAATATAGGAAGCGGAATCTGTATAACAAATATAATTTTGGAGCATCGAAGATGGTCAGTTACATCACTTCTGTTGAGATTATGTTGTTATTGTACTTATGTTGATATTTTGAGTATAAACCTCTGAAATCTAAATGAGTAAAATATGTATTAAAAGTTTAAATAACAATGGTGGACCAAGAGTTGAATCAGTTCATGCTCACAGCTGCTTGTTTAAATAACCACACCTGAAGTTTACAAATACAGCATAGAAAAATAAAACAAAATAGTCCCTGAACAGGGCAGTATGCAGGGGTGGATCCAGGTTGGCCACAATGTGTGCCCTGGCACACCCAAAAGTTCGTGAAGATTACTGGGTACTAGGGAGTATGTAACTATGTATGCATCCAGCTAAAACATGTGAAGCTCAATGGTGTCCAATTTACCATGGCCCCTAGGTAGGCAGTGGCAACAAGAAACTGACTGCCAAGACACAGAAGAAATAGGTAGTTGGCTAGCTAGCTTGCTGAAGCCTGAAGCCCATGCATATGCAGAAGTCAGCAGTACAACTGCTCTTGCTCCACAATGACATGAAACCCCAGATTTCTGCTAATCCAGTTTCTTTTTTGTATAGGTACCTTTGAATGTATTTGTTAGGTTCGCTACTCGTTCCTCTCAGGTAGTAGTCGTGCGAGGTTGGTGGGCGGGGCTTAGGCTCTCGACAGCGGCGGACGCGCGACGCCGTCCTGAAGTCCGGCGTCGAACTGGAACACGTGAGAGTGTAGTCACTCGAGAGCGGAAGAGATTGACTCAATCTCCAGCTGCCCTTCATTAATCAAGTGTGCGGGCTATATATAGCCACATGCTAACAAACCGAATGTTCCACAAATTAAGCAACAAGATCTATCTGATCTAACAAACTGACTACGAAATGCAATCCAAGATCCTAGGAACGAGGACGCCGCCCTGGGCGCGATCACCCCTTCGTCGCCGCGCTCTGCGCCCTTCACGCCCGCGTCTTCAGCCACGGTTACGCTTCCTTCGCTGGTACACTTGGCCCACCATAACATCTCTCCCTCCCTCGACAAACAGCTCGTCCTCGAGCTGAAAGTCGGGGTGGGCCTGGCGCAGCGTGTCGAGTGGCTCCCAAGTGGCATCTTCCGGGGACATGCCAGCCCACTGGACGAGCACGTGCCATGTACCGCGACGCAGCTGGGCACGCAGCGCCTTTTCCGGGGTGTCGAGGAGCCTGCCGTTGCGTAGGGGTGGAAGAGCCGGAGTCGACGCCGGAGGCTGGCCGTGGAAGGGCTTGAGGACGCCCACGTGGAAGACATCGTGTATGCGGGCGTGCTCCGGCAGCGCCAGGCGGTACGCGACGTCGCCCACTCGTTCCAGCACCTGAAAGGGCCCGGCGTATCGCGGACTGAGCTTGCCGCGCCGGCCAGGGACCAAGGACTGTGCCGGGCGATGGAGCAGTCAGAGCAGAACCCAATCACCCACGTCGAACGCCAAAGCGCGATGGTGTGCGTAGTAGTACCGCTTGGCGTAGTTCTGAGCTTGGAGAAGACGTTCCCGGACGTCGGCGAGGAAGGCGTCCCGGTCCTGCAAGAGGCCATCCACCGTCGCCGTGCGCGCCGTGGCCGACTCGTAGGGAAGTAGTGCCGGTGGCGGTCGCCCGTAGACCACAGAGCGGAGTCGTCATGCGCGGCGCCGAAGAGTGGAACGCCGTGTTATAGTGATATTCGCCCATGGGAGCCAGTCCGATAGCGAGGCGGTCCCCAGTGATGCACCTTAAGTACATGGCGATCGTCTTGTTCACGGCCTCGGACTGCCCGTCCGTTTGTGGATGGAAGGCGGTGCTCATACGCAGCTGCACCCCGGCCATCGTGAACAGGTCCCTCCACACGTGGCCGGTGAAGACGGGGTCGCGGTCGCTCACGATGGAGACCGGGAACCCATGAAGTCGGACCACGTCGGTGAAGAACGCGCGCGCGACGGAGGACGCCGTGTAGGGGTGGCCCAAGGGGATGAAGTGCGCATACTTCGAGAATCGATCCACGACAGTAAGGATCACGCTCTTGCCGTTCACCTTGGGGAGGCCTTCAACAAAGTCGATCGAGATGTCAGACCAGACCTGAGTGGGGACGTCGAGGGGTTGGAGCAGCCCGGCCGGGTGCAAAGCCTCCGTCTTGTTCTTCTGGCATGTCGGCGAGGCGGACAAAGTCCGGACCACGAGCGTCGTGATCCACGGCGGTCGAGGCGTAGTCGTTGAAGCGTCTTACGGGCGCCGCCGTGCCCCCGCGTGCAGCGCGAGTTTGGATGACCACCGGAAGGAGGCTGGACGTGGCCGACACGTAGACGCAGGTCCCCTTGAGGATGAGGCCGTCCTGGACGTGCCACGGGGCGCCGCGCGTGGTGGCGATGGTGTCGCGTAGGTGACGCAGCTGGTCATCGGCCTGCAGCTCCGCGCGGAGGTCGTCGTAGAAATTTAACGTGGGCGCGGAAACGCGGCCGGATCTGTGACGTCGACTTCAAGGCGGAGAGAAGCGCCCGCCATCGTGTTCAATCTTCCAGGCCTGTACTCCACAGTGAAATCAAAACCGAATAGCTTACTTATCCACTGGTGTTGGGGAACGGTCGACATGCGCTGATCGAGCATGTATTTCAGGGCATAGTGATCCGTGCGCACGACAAACTGACGGCCCCAGAGGTATGGCCGCCAGTGGCGAACCGCCTGCACGAGCCCAATGAGCTCACACTCGTATGCCGCCACCTTCAGGTGCCTGGCGGCGAAGGGCTTGCTGAAGAACGCCAACGGCCCCGCACCTTGATGTAGCACGGCACCAAACCCTGTCCCGGAGGCGTCGCAATCTACCACAAACGCCTTGGTGAAGTCAGGGAGATGCAACACCGGCGCCGTGGACAGAGCTTCCTTGAGTGCGGCGAACGCCGCGGTCGCCTCGTCGGTCCAGCGAAAACCATCCTTGCGGAGGAGCTTGGTGAGGGGTGCGGTCACCGTGCCGAAGTCTTTGATGAATCGCCGGTAATACCCGGCGAGGCCGAGGAAGCCGCGCAAGCCGCGCGCCGATGCTGGTTGCGGCCAGGAGGCCACGGCCTCCACCTTGTCGCCATCCATGGCCACTCCGAACGCCGAGATAACATGGCCCAGATAGGCCACGGAGCAGGTGCCGAAGGCGCACTTGGAGCGTTTGATCCGGAGTTGATGCTCGCGTAGGACGGTGAAGACGGCGCGCAGGTGTTGAAGGTGTTCGGTCCAGGATTTGCTATAGATCAATATATCGTCAAAAAACACCAAGACGCACTGACGAAGGAAGGGCTGCAGCACCGCGTTCATCAAGCTCTGGAATGTCGCCGGTGCGTTGGTGAGGCCGAACGGCATCACGAGGAACTCGAAGTGTCCGTGATGCGTCCGGAACGTAGTCTTCTCGACGTCGTCCGGGTGGACGCGCACCTGATGGTAGCCGGCGCGGAGGTCCAGTTTGGTGAAGAACCTTGCGCCGTGCAGTTCGTCGATGAGCTCCTCCACTACAGGAATGGGGAACTTGTCCTTCACCATCTGGTCGTTGAGCGCGCGGTAGTCCACGCAGAAGCGCCACGTCGCATCGGCCTTCTTGACGAGGAGCACGGGCGCGGAAAACGGCGACGTGCTGGGGCGTATGATGCCTTGTGCCAGCATGTTCGTGCACTGCGCCTCGAGCTCGTCTTTTTGAAGCTGGGGGTAGCGGTACGGCCGTACCGCCACGGGCGCCGTGTTTGGCAGCAGGTGGATGCGATGGTCACAGGCGCGCGGTGGCGGAAGGCCCGACGGTGGCTCGAAGATGTCGGCGAAGTACTCCAGCAGGCGGTCCAGGAGGGTGGGCTCGGTGCCGCGCGCGGCGTGGAGACGCCCGGTGGGCGGGATATCAGTGCGCGTGGAGCCGATTCCCTTCCACAGGACGCGCTTGCCGTGATGCCAGAAGGCCATGCAGAGGTCGTCGAAGTCCCATAAGATGGGGCCCAGTGTGCGCATGTACTTGACGCCCAGTACCATGTCGTAGCAGTTGAGCGGTATGGCGTAGCAGTCGACGTTGAAGTACTCGTCGCCGATGCGGATGGCGACGTCGCGGGCCAGGCCGCGGCACGCGACGCGGTCCCCGTTGGCGACCACCACATGGGCGCCCTGACTGTCGTGGAAGTGGAGACCGATGCGGCGAGCGGCCCCCGAGCTGATGAAGTTATGAGTCGAGCCTGAATCGAGGAGGGCCGTGAGCTCGTAGTTGCCGATGGAGACCCGGACCTACATCGTGTCCTCGGTCCGGATGCCGGTGATCGCCGTGAGGGAGATGAGCGGTGGAAGCTCGTCCGACGGCTCGTCGCGTGCCTGTTCTTCGTCCGGCAACGGAGGCTCGGTGTCGTCGAAGTCGGTGACCTCCAAGTAGAACAGGCGTTGACACATGTGCCCGCGCACGTACTGCTCATCGCAGTTATAGCACAGGCCCTGACACCGACGTTCCGCCATCTCGGTCGGGGAGAGACGACGAAACGGCCACGGCGGCGCCGGAAGAGCCGCCTGTGCCGGGGTCGCGGGCGCTGCCTGCGTTGTAGCCACTAGTGCGGCCGGCAGTGCCAGCGGCTGGGAGCGCGCCGGGGGACGCGGTGGACGAGCAGCGGGCGCCATCGGCAGCGCTCCAGCGCGGCGTTCGTAGGCACGGGCCAGGCCCATGGCGCGCTGAAGATCCGCAGGGCCCTGGAGTTCGACGTCGGTGCGGATCGGGTCCGGTAGGCCGCCGGTGAAGAGCTGGACCTGCTGGAGCGGAGACAGGGGCCCGGCGTGCGCCATCCGAGCCTGGAACGCCTCCTGGTACCCCGCCACAGAGCCCGGGAATGGCAGGCGCGCCAAATCGGAGAGGTGGTTGGTGGCGAGTGGTGGCCCGAAGCGTTGGTGGCAGAGCGCTTTGAAGAGGGGCCAGAAGATGTTGCTGACGTCGCCGGCATCGCGCTCCAACATGTAGTACCGATCTTTGGCCACGGCATTCATGTGGAGCAACGACGCGAGCCGCATTCTTTTGATCTCTCGCGCGGCTGCGCCCGGAAAAAGTGTTCGCACTTGTTCAACCACGGCAGGGGGTCGTCCGACCCGTCGAACGTCGGGAAGGACAGCTGGAAACGGGGCACGCCGCGGGCGTCCGCGTGACCCTCATAGTGTGTCCGGGCGCGCCGCGCCTTCCGAAAGTGACCGTCGAGTGGCTCGGCGGCGGCGGCGGTGAGGTGGCGGTGAAGGTGGGAAGTGGCGGCGAATGTGGAAATGGAATCGGTTGATCGGCGTGGGCCGAGAGGGTACTGGGTTCGCCGACGCGCCGCCAGTGTGAATCACGACGGAGCCGGTCGTTGGCGCCACCGAATGCCGCCGTAGTCGACATCATGCCGTATGGAAGAAGGTACGGTGCGGACCGCTTATGACAACTACGGTGGCGGAAGAGCGAGGCCCGCCCCTCTAGGCGGGAAGCGGTGTGGCGAATCGCCCATCTCGGCGTTGCTGATCCCTAGTATGGCGGCGGTGAAGTGCAGGAGGAGAATCCCGTGGTGGGAGGCGCGGTGGTTTGCGGGAGCGGGCGGTGGTCGATGGTTGGATGAGAGGAATGGCGGAAGAGAGAGGCGATGGGGGAACACCGACCATCGGACTGACATTGCCGATACCAAAGTTGTTAGGTTCGCTACTACGTTCCTCCGGGTAGTAGTAGTCGTGCGAGGTTGGTGGGCGGGGCTTAGGCTCTCGGCAATGGCGGACGCTGACGGCAAATCTCGAAGTCCGGCGTCGGCTGGAACACTTGAGAGTGTAGTCACTCGAGGCGGAAGAGATTGACTCAATCTCTAGCTGCCCTTCATTAATCAAGTGTGCGGGCTATATATAGCCACATGCTAACAAACCGAATGTTCCACAAATTAAGCAACAAGATCTATCTGATCTAACAAACTGACTACGAAATGCAATCCAAGATCCTAGGAACGAGGATGCCACCCTATGCGCGATCACCCCTTCGTCGCCGTGCTCTGCGCGCTTCACGCCCGCGTCTTCAGCCACGGTTACGCTTCCTTCGCTGGTACACTTGGCCCACCATAACAGTATTGCTTGCTTTTTCTCATTCTTTTGGGCAGCATCTCTCCACTAAAGTTTTGATGTTAGGAAAATTTTGATGATTTCACGCTGGACCACTGGTAAACTCATGGTTGGACCTTAACTCCTTAAGTGAATAGTAGTGGTTTCAGACAATCTATAATTCTATACAGGCGCAAATTTTCCCACTCTGAACGATGCTTTTAACAAGAGGTTTTCAAGTTATGAAATTGTTACCGATCCGATCAAAAGTACAATAGTGCATGTACGGTCATACTTATGTCCAAAATTTTGATGGCAGTTCTTGAATTTCCAGTTCTACCACCTTGGTCAGTGTGCAGTGTGCACACCCGGTGATAATTTTCTAGATCCGCCACTAACAGTATGCACAAGCAACTTTTATCTTAGAAGAATAGCCATAATAAGACAGGCAAGTTATTATACATCCAGCCTATTTGACTTTAATGGTTCTTGAAGACCAAAAGAACCAAACTGTAATAGACGAGCTTTCATTGTTTTATTGTGCGCAAATATGACACAGGAGCTTAATAAGAACTAAACATTTGCTTGGCATCAATGTGCTAGTTTCCAGTTTGCATCCAAAAAATTAGCTGCATGACTTTCACATCCTTGCATGATGATAGTTATACCTTGTAAAATTACCTGGATTCTAGCTAGAGCATTTGATGCCTCAACAGCCCGATGTTCTAGTTCTACTTCTCTCTCAACAGCTGCCTGTATTGTAACAAGTGACTAGAATATAATAGATGAAACTATGGAGAATATAAAGTGCTGAAGAGACTGAACTTTGACAAATTACCATCTTTGTGGCATTATGAGAAATGCGCTCTTCTTCAGCCCTACGCTCTGCGGTAGCAAGTTCCTCCCGTAAAGCCTAAATTAAACGGTGTTTGGAGGTTATGTATCTGATCTTCATGGGAACTGACAGAAACCATCTTTGCCTTACTAACCTGGATAACCCTGGTTTCAGTAAGTTCACGGTTCCTCTTGAGACCATCCATATCTTCCTGGTTCAATAGACAACAGGGTTAATATTAGAATATTTCTCCTTTTTTAGGATCAACATCTATCTACTAAAATGCTAAGTCATTAAAGGTTTTTTCTTGAATGCACAAGAGAGCTGAGTATTGCTGCATTATTTTAAGTGTACTAAGACCACAACACTCCCCCCCAACAGTTAAAACTAACCACATGTGCTGATGCACAGAACGAACGATCTCAGTTAATGCTTAAAATGAAACAAATAGTTCAGGTCTATATCCAAAAGTGTAAACACAGCAAGTAGCAAACAAAATGGTAACTAGTCCAAAATTTCTAATGACATCTGATAAAGCCCATATCAGGCTGGGCTTATAATTCCGACAGCAAGCAGTCCATTAAATAGAACAATGAGAGAAAGGTTGCTAAGATTGAGATCAAGGGTCTCTCAATATTAATGCTTGAGAAACACAGAGAGTAAGCTGTTTATTAAACAATGTGCATTTAGCTCTAGAATATCAAACCCTGAAAGGTAAGCTGTTTACTAGCACATGTAAACTAATAAAATTACTAAGGACAAGAGTAAGTGAAGTGTTAAAACTTAAAAGTGTCTACAGAAGCACATACTACTAATGGTAGGGTGATAAGCTACAAACCGTAGTTCCCTTAGGCCTTAGGTACTAGTTATAGTATGCTTATAGAAGAAAGAGAGTAATATAAGATGAACGAAACCTCTAAAGAAGCAAGCTTATCTTCTGAAGCTGCTGCTCTTTTCTTCCAAGAGTCCAATGATTTAACAAGAGATTCAATCTCTGCATTTTTTGCAGTCAAAGCATCAACCATATTTGATTCGGCTCTTGAACCTTCTACTCTGGACATTGATAGTTCTTGCTGTAGTTGCTTTATATGAGTCTCGTACGAGGTAGATTTCTCTCTCTGGCATGTTGAATAACATTAATGTATATTAGGGAAAAAACTGCATACAGTTGGGTGGAGATAAACAGAAAATTGTAGTCACAGTAAAGTGCGTGAACTAATTAGACCTCTTGAACAAGAAGTTCCTCCAGCTGTGCATTTTCAGACTTATACTCTTGGAGGCGGGACGAAAGTCCAGCACAAACCTATTCATAAGTTCAAAACAAATGGACAAAAGAACATATTGGTAAGTTGAAAACAAACGAACAAGAAAACAAACACATTAGCCAACATAGATGGAGTACGAGTAGTGAGGCAACTGAGCTTATGTTTATCCTTACCCGAGCTAACCTAGCTTCTTTTGATTGGCCAGTCTTGACAGCACTTTTTAACAATCCCTGAGCCTATAAAAGATCAACAAAACAATGGAAACGAACAAGAGAACATATTCAAATATCAACCAGAACAGTTTGCTCAGAGTTTCTAATTTTCTGCATCTTGATGAAATGATGCACAGTTCTCCTGTGTGTTCAAGAAAAAAAACAGCAGCGTACCTCATCAAGTTGGTCTTGTTCTTTCACAGAAACTGAATCTGATTTCTGTTCATGTCGATCTTCTATGCTTTCTGGTGAATCTGAAACATTCTCTTTCTTTGATTCTTGCAGTTTGCCAGCAACCTCTGTATTTGGCAATTCAGACACATTTCTGTCCTGGATAATAGCCACAGCAGAGTCTCTCTCCTCCAAATTAATCACTGGACCAATCTCAGCAGTCTGGTTAGTACTGCTCAACTCACTTTTTTCATCTGGAACTGAAGAATAGCTTTCAACAGCAACCTCTGAATTGGAATGTGTAACACCATCCACAGTGGGAGCTGCATTGTCAGAGTTTTTCTCCATCAGTTGAACTTCAACGGTGGCATCAACAACCGTCCCAGACTCATCAGTCTTAAGATCATCAGTAGCTTTCTCCCCTTTCTCCAACGTACCCTCATTATCCACTTCCTTAACATCGATCGGAGCGACTTCTGGTTCACTAGCACTGGTATCAACACTTGATGAATCTGCTGGCGGCGAAGGCCTGATCTTCTCAATCTTCATCCGCTCTCGCGGCGGTTGCCTACTCCTCCTTTCCTTCTGAGCAGATGTCTTGTTACCACCACCGGCATTAGTGAGCTTCAATGGACCCTGCAAAAGAAATTAATGTCAAAGCTTGAACAATGGCTCCCATGTGTGGTATGTAAAGAAACAAGTTATGCTCAAGAAGGCTCTTAAGTAGTGACCTTCTCCCTCGGCTTTCCCTTCTTTGCTTGCACTTCTTGGTTGTTTGGTCCTTCACAAACAAGCATTCAACAAGCAGAGATTAAACTACCTGCCAAATGGCTAAATGGGCACGTATAAACCAAGGAGGCATACTACCTGAAGGCTGAGAGGTAGACTGTTCATCCGACAGTTCTGTTGCCACGATCTTGGCCCTCCGGTCGACGACTTCGAGCAAGTCTATTACAAAAAAGGAACACCACGCTCAGATTCCATATTGCAAACTCCTAACGGAGCAATCAAGCAGGCAGAAACGGTGACGGGTTTCAGTTAGGTGCAATTAGGCGCGCAGAATGATCAAACACGAGCACAATACCACAGCTATGGGCAATACTAGTCTCACGGAGTAATCAGCGCGGGGAAAGTACGAGAGTTGTGGGATGGAGAGGAGGACGGCAGATCTTCGCCGGCGGAGAGGGTGGATCTGTGTGGCGCGGCGAGATAGGGCGAGGGAGGTCGGGCCATCGAGGGGTTCGTACCTTCGGCGACCTTGAGCCAGGACGCCATGGCGGGATCCCCGCTGGTGGCGCAGTGTGACGGCGAGCGAGCTTGATAAATTGGCTGGTGTGAGATCTCTCCGGCCACGGCAGTGGGGTTCCAAGTAAGGTGCCGCAACTCGCAATGGTTGGTAGCGTGGCGGGGGAGACGGGTCGGAAGACTGCGGACCAACCGGTGGTTAGAATAATATCAAATATGTTATAACCAAACTGGCTAACATGGTTGGTAGCGTGGCGGGGGAGACGGGTCGGAAGACTGCGGACCAACCAGTCGTTAGAATGATATCAAATATGTTATAACCAAACTGGCTAACATCGTTGCCCGTCTAGCTCAGTCGGTAGAGCGCAAGGCTCTTAACCTTGTGGTCGTGGGTTCGAGCCCCACGGTGGGCGTTGTTTTGCCGCATTTTTTTTGGTCCTCTTTTGTTTAGTTTGACCGCTGATTTTGCATGTTGTTTTGATTTCCCTTGATTTGATTCTTTCATTCAAAAGTTTTTACCACGCCATATGACCATATAAATCCAGTTCAGCATTGTTTAACAGTAATATCATGTCCATTAGTACAGTGGTAAAGATGCTAATAGGCCATTTGATTTCTTTGAATATATTTCTGGCAAGGTCATCTGTTACAAAACTCTCCGTCCTTTCAGGCTATCCATAATGAATATGCTTCAAGACATCTTATATACACTAATGATAAGTTATAATTACTGGGCTAGCAATCTAGGTATTATTACTCTAGTAAAGAATCTTCAAAACTAATTACTTGTTAAACGCTTTGTCAATTATTTCAAATTATAAGATGTTTTGGTCTTTCTAAATACATAGATTTTGCTATACACTTACATATACACTATGTCTAGCTACATAGTTAAACTATGTATTAAAAAATCCAAAACATCTTGTAATTTAGAATAGAGGAAGTATATTTTAAAAGTTGCTACCAGAGACTCGCTGAGATTATCACATCTTATATATTGCTTCTATAATTTGAAAGTGTTGCGGTTATATAAGTGGTTGCTACTGTGCGCAAGTTTAAGGCTCTATGACATATATGTTACTAGAAGGATAGTCCAAGTGATTCTTATAAGTAAAATTATGGCATGTATTAGCTAAACTTGCATATTATTGCATCGGATCTAATTTACATTAGGAAAGGACAGAATCAGGATTTGGACATATAAAGGGGCCAAGCAAGTTATGGGAATCATATGCACCTACATATTCAAAGGAAGTCACCCACTTAATAAATAAATAATCAAAAAAAATTCTCTCCATCTTAGTTGAATAACTATATACTGATACTAAATTAAAAAATAAGGGGTGTAGCGAATTAGATGCTATCACATTTTATATCAACAAGATAATGCATCTAGATCCCAATTTGGTGATTAAAAAACACCATCAAGCTTTATACATCATGAACCCCCCAAATTTTTTTATGTGGCGTACATGCCCAACAAACATGTTCAACCTCCATAAAAAATTACATGGTTATAATATACGTAAGTATGTGACAATTAGTGTTTTATTTCAAGGCCTTCTTAATTTTATAATATAATTTCATTCGAGTTAGCATAATATACACACTCGATTATGTGTAATATGTTAGCGTGTAACATATTTTAGATCACTAAAATTTACGACTCAATTAATGTATTGTATGTAACGTATTTTTTTAACCAAATAAAATATGCTAGCTGTTGTATATACGATGAACTTGCTGATTTTTTATGGTGATATACACACGCATGCATGGATCTCGTGCATGCAGAGATTTGAAAATATTATTTCCTTTTTTTGTTTTCCTATGCTAATTAATTAATTTTAAAAATCTAAAAAAATCAATGGCTCAGATTTATTTAAGATATTACCTCCTAGGAGATAAAAATTGTACCGTAGCATTGCCCTTTAGTGATTGATAAGCAAAATGCTTGTGGACTAACATGTGTTTTGCGGTGGATAATGTACATTGGTTAGTCACAAGGATGGCTACGGTGTAGTAAAATTGAACCAATCTATCGAATCAAACTAGATCATTTGTTTTTACTAAAATCGAACCACTTCCTAAGGCTAGATAGTTTTGACGGTCATAACTCTCTCATTTAGACTACAAATTACACATTTTACATGGCATTTCAATTGTATTGGCGAGAGCTGTGTAAGAACATTCAAGATCATCTCCAATACCACCGTATCGTTTAGTCTAGGAAACGAGACAGCTCGGGATTTTCTAGACATGGCTAGTACTTGCAATTTTTTGTTGCATCAACAAGGTTATATATCAAATTATTATGCTTGCAGTAATTTTATCCATTAGCTTTTTGTGATCGAAACCATTGTGTCCTACTGCCGTTCAAGATAGAGCCATCTAAATCTATAATATAAATAAATTCAATTGATGATCGAGTTACGTCTCATCTACTATCTATATCTATAATATATACTCCATCCGTTCTAAATTATAAGTCGGTTTGACTTTTTTGGTACATCCATTTTACTATATATCTAGGCATATATCATATCTAGATACATATTAAAATGGATGTACCAAAAAAAATCAAAGCGATTTATAATTTGAAACGAAGGGAGTACTCTTATTAAAAAATCCACCAGCTTGTAATTATGAATCTACATGCAAATATGCAATTATGATAAACTATCTCTTCAAGCACTTTATCCACGCCGTCAAGCCACATCACCTATTAACATGTTTTTAACTTGCAACATCATCCACTAACATTCATTTATGATAATCTATCTGTTTATCTAGTTAAACTATTTATACTAATGTGACACATAAATCAATAGTTATAGACTATTAGATTTCCATTTCAAATCATATCTGTCCGTCCATTGTCACCTGTGATCTTGACAGCAACGTACGGGACAGGGCATCATTCTAGTTCCAAGATGAATGGCGCTCTAAGAGGTTCATAACTCGGAACTTGTGAATAGCGCTCTAAGAGGTTTGTTACTTTTCAATCGGTTCTGGTAAAATAAGACTTGTTTACATGGCACATTGTGATTCGACACAAAGTGGCTGGAATCAAGGAAAAATATCCAAATTTCACTATGCACTCATCTTTATAATAATTTTCATATAATCATCGACTTTTTGTTTATCAGAGTGCAATATGGGTTTTGTTGACTCACAGACTTAAGACGTTATTTGGTTGATAGGCACACTCTGCCACATGTCACCTTATGAGACAAGTTTGACTAAATTGACAAGTGTTTCGTTGATACTAAATGTAGACAAGTTTTTTTTTTTTGCCACACATGTTATAGAGTATAAAAGCATGGCAAGATTTTCTTAGTCATGGCATAGTATGGCTCCAAATCTTTTAGCCACACTTTTTTTGGTTTATCACACCTACTTAAAGTTATTTGTAGTAAATTGTGGCTGAACCAAACAACCCGTTAACAACTTTTGGCAGATGCTAACGTTGTCATGTTTCAAGCCCAAGAATAGAAGCAGCTTCAGCCCACACCTACTTCCAAGCCTCCAAGGCCTGACCATGATGTCCAGCCGGCTTGTTATGGGACCCAAGGCCTACATATAGCAGTAGTACATAAATGGCCTAATGTATGATGTATCCAGCAAAGTAAAAAGTTTTGCCCTTTTAGGGCATATATGCTCTAGCCTCTATGCATATGACCATTGAATCTTCATTGAGATACGTGGACTGCAAGGGGAAGATAATAGTTTAATGTGTCCCTCCTCTTGTGCAGAAATATTGATGTGCATCTAATGGTAATGCGTATGAGAGCACATGCCTTAAGAGCCCTAGGGTATTCAACACACTTCCTGTTGTCACAAGGAAAAACCCCAACAGGGAGCGCTTCTCCTTCGAATGTATTAGGCCCAACTACATGGACTACGTGGACCGCTTTGTTCTTCTTCAAGGGGATGTGTAAGCGTTTAATAAACTAGTTAGTTTTCTCAAAAAAAAAAACTAGTTAGTACATACTAAACTACTAACTAGTTTATATCAAAGTTAGACTAAGAACTTAGGAATAGATCAATTTTTCCACTCAAACCCCCCTTGTTCTTTTAGGCAACACATATTTGTGTGATGAAACTGCAAGTGGTCTGATTTTTTTAAAAGAAAACCAACAAGAAGCCAAAGTGGTCTGCCCGGGGAAAAAACAGGGAAGGAAATACTAGTAGTACTCTCCCTTAAAACAACCTCTGAAGTCTGAACTTTCATCTCATATGTTTTAAGCCTTCCTTTGCAATCTACTGAATGGACCCACCAACTGCATAATCACTCTACCCAGATGTTTCAGGGTACAACATTCATGGCGTATTGTGCCAGGCGAAGCAAAGCAAGAAAGAGCTCCGTTTGCCTATACATTCAGTCATTCAGACTAGACGCCTGAATCGTATGGCGACGGAAACTGTCTGTCAAATTCTTGTTTGGAGCTGGGCAAACCCGCACCCAACTGGCCTAATTTTTTAAAATTTGACCTTTTTTTTTTTAAGAAAATTTACGTTTAACATCCTGGGCAACGTAAGCTGATCTTTGGACCCTGGGGGTCGGCGCCGAGGTAACACGTCTCGGCGCCGTAGGTCTTGGCGCTGAGATGTCTGGCCGGGAAAAACGGGGCATCCAGGTGGCGCTGACGTGGCAGGTAGGTCGGCGCCACGAATCCTGACGCCGAGGTCGGAGCCACAGATCTTGGCGCCGACCTCAGAGCCACAGATCTTGGCGCCGAGGTCTTATACCTATACCGAACGCCGTCTTCCTCTTCCGGCCGCCGCGTGACCTCTCTCTCGTCGTTCCGGCCGCCGCCCGCGCCACCGCAGCCAGCAGTCCGCGGCACCAGCTTCGAAGAGCTCCGCGCCCCTGTTCGCTCCCTCGGCCGCCCTTGTCACCCCATCCTCCTCCGCGTGCACCGACGGCGAGGGCGGCCCCCGCCAGCCGCGCCTGGCGGCGCCGCCGCCCCCCCCCCTCCGGCCGCCCTGTGAGGCCACCCCTCTCCCTCGGCCGGCCGTCAGCCTCA